CCCTCCCGGCCCGGCCGTCGCTTCGCAACCACTGCCGCCGGCGCGTGACCGGCGAACAAAGAGCCCTTTCACCGGCGATCCCGCCATGGCCAGCACCCCTGGGACCCCCCAGCCAGGGCACCTCGGGTCCCCCTGGCCCCACCCAGACACCCTGCGGGAATGGGTGCTCCAAGGACTCCCCAATCCCCCCAGGGATCCGGGTGGAAAATTCCTGCCGCGGGGCACCAGGGCCGTATAAGTTTTATTGGCCCCTTGTCACCGTGTCCCGGGGGACCTTTGCTCTCCCTGTGGTGGCCCAGCATCGCTGCTGTCGTCCGCCAGTGCCGCCCCGGCACGCCATGGCCCCACTGCTATCACAAGCCCTTTGCTCGGGGTTGGGGGGCGCTGAGGCCGCCCCAACTCGTGACACCCTTGCACAAGTGGGTGCCACCTGCCTAAGGACCCAGTGGGGGGGTAGGGGGGCCCTAACCTGGTGGCACCCAGCTGAGCCGGTGGTTTCTTATCGGCATGGGGAGGGAGGGGCACAGCTGCGGCCCCCCCCCAGCACCATGGATCAGCCTTGATACAGCGTGGGGTTGGGCACGACGGTGCCATGCCCGGGGCAGCAGTGGGCACAGCGGGGGCAGGGGTGCTGCAAGTGTGGTATGGGTGCTAAAAACATAGCATGGGTGCTATGGGACTGGTATGGGTGCTACAAACATAGCATGGGTACTACAAGCATGGTATGGGTGCTACAAGCATGGTATTGGGTGCTGTGAACATAGCATGGGTGCTGTGAGACTGGTATGGGTGGCGTGGGTCAGGCACAGGCAGGTGTAAGCCTTGTACGGGTGCTACAATGCACAGGAGGGGTGCTGCAAAGTGTGGTGTTGGTGCTACAAACCTAGTATGGGTGCTACCACCCTGGCACGGGTGCTACGAACCTGGTATGGGTGCTACCACCCTGGCACGGGTGCTGTCAGCCTAGCACAGGCGCTACAAGCCTGATATGGGCAGTGCAAGCCTGGCATGGCTGCAGCGAGCCTGGCATGGGTGCTGTGAGCCTGGCACGGGTGGTCCACACCTGGCGTGGGTGCTGCAAGCCTGGCATGAGTGGTTTTAAGCCTGGCATGGGTGCTATGAGCCTGGCATTGGTGCTGCGAGCCTGGCACGGGTGTTGTGAGCCTGGCACGGGCCCTTCAGGTCTGGCACGGGCCCTTCGGGTCTGGCATGGGCGCCTGGCCCCCCCAGGGCAGCTCCTCCCTCACCGGCGGTGCCAGCCGCCTCCGAAAACCCCCGTGTCCTCTGGCCGGACCCACCCCCAGCAGGGTGACTCAGCCGCCGAAGCCTTTCCTTATATAATGCGGTGTCGCCACCGTGCCGGGCGAACGCCCGCCGAGCCGCCCCTGCCTCAGTTTCCCCTTGCTGGGGCGTCACCGCCGCTGCAGCCATGTGGATGGTGTCACCACCCATCGGTAAGTGCCAGCTCGATGCCGCTCGGCCCCTTCGCAAGGTGTCTTTCCCCCCACCCTTCTCCCTGCCAAATCACCGTTTTGGGGGGGTTTGGCGGAAAAATAAGGGTCATCGGCCAAGCGCCGCTCACTCGGCCCTGCAAATTAGGGCAGAAAAGCATAAAAACAATAAAGCAGCCCCCAAAAAATAGGTCAGTTCTGCACCTCCGCTGGCCAAACCCCTTTTTCCCCTCTGTCCTGGGGGGAGCAAGACCCCCTGAGGGGCACAAGCCCCCGTAATGCACATGGGGTCACCCAGGAAGAGCCAAAAATGCCTTTTTTTTCTCTGAGAAATAGTAATAAAAAGCTTCAGCAGCAGCAGGGGTTGAGGAAGCCCGTCCTGCCCCGGCCCTTTGCTTTTGGGGCTAAAAACACCGAGAATGGGCAAGTTTGGGCACCGTGGCGATGCCCAGGTATTGTGATGCTCACTGGTGCCCAGATCTGGCGCGGTGGCAGCACCAGTAACTCTCCCCAGGGGCCTGATCCTGCCCAGTGCTGGGAAGGGTGGGGATGGTGATGGTGAGCCCCCGAATTGCCATTTTTTGCCCCTTTTCACCTTTGGAGCCCCAAAACCCAGCGGATTAGCCCCAACCAAGGGAAGACGAGGGGAACGACGCCGGACACCTGCTCACCCCCCCAAAAAACACCGGATCTGGTAAAATCCAAAGCAGTGGAACGAGCGTCCTGGCAGATAGGGGAGGATTTTCCATCCCCAGCTGCCCGGCTCACCCCGTGCCGGTAGCTCGGGGCGCGGTGTCCAAAGGTCACCAGTGGCCGCATCCGTCGATCTGCTGGCACACGGAGTCACCGACCCCGGCCGGCATTCCCAAGCCCAGGAATATAATTCCTTGCAACCGAGATGGTTTGGGTTTTTTTCTTTACCACCTCGGGAGCTGTTTTCGACGGTGTTTCGGCACCAGGATGGTGACGAGTTGGCCCGGGCTCAGCCGGGAGCGGGTAAAGGGAGGGCGGTGAGGGGAGGGGGTGGCTCGTGTTCTGCTCTGACGTGCTGTTTTCTTTCAGATGAAGGATCTCCCCAGCTTGCCTGGCTTTGGGACCACGGCAAAGGCAGGGTGCAAAGCCCACTAGTAGGACATGACCCTTAAATTCTTTCTCTAAAGCTTAGCTCTATAGCTACGTAAGATCACTAGAGCTTAAAACCGGGGTTGGCTTTTAGTCTAAGCTTGGGTTTGGATTTATTTTTCTTCTGTTGTTTTTGCGGTTCTTGTATTGGTTTATTTGGTTTGATTTTCGCCTCCGGTGGGGAGATAAGAGGCAGGGCTTGCGAAAAAACCACCACCACCACAAAAAAAAAAATCCCGCCGCTTGCTAAAAGGCTTTTGGGGGGCTTCGGTGCGAGGAGGGGAACAGCCAAGCAAGGCTCCCGCCGTCGGCAGCACCCCCCAAAATCTCCCCCTCCCCAGCACCGACCTGCTACCTCAGGGAGGGGTTTAAATAACTCCCCGGCTGGAAAGCGGACGTCAGTTCTGCCCTTCACCGGCTGCCTTGGTGGCTTGCAGGTATTTTCCAGTCCACGAAGAAGCTGTTCCTGAGTGAGCGAGCGGGCCGGGGTCGGACGCTGGAATTCATCCGGAAAAACGCTGCTAACGGCCTCTCCGTGGCCAATCTGGTGGCGGGGCTCTCCTCTGTCCTCTGCAGCCTCAACAGGTGGGGAAAAAAGGGGAAACGTGGGGAAATGGGGGGTTGCAAAGGGGGGGTCACCCCAGTTTTGCCCTATCCATCCTCCCCAGGCAACACCACCACTCCTGCTGGCTGCTGCTGGTAGGGTTTCTGCTTGATCTGGCCGACGGAGCCGTCGCCCGGCAACTTGATGCCTGCTCGGCACTGGGTGAGTCCCTCCCTCCCCCC